AGGTTGTGCATTGGAACTAGAAGGATGATAGAAGGAGAGTGAAGGAGACAGACATGGCGGTGTGTGAAGGGCAGCGGTCACCGTGGGGTGTTCACCTCAGGACAGAGTGACTTTGAAGGGTGTTAATGCCGACTGGGCAGAAGCACGACAGTTTGCACACGTGCAAACATGCTTGCTGCAGAGAGCCCAGACTGGTTTTACTGCTGATGCTGGCATTTCTCTGCAGAAAACCCCCCCTCGCCCTCTTCCCTCCACCTCTTCACCTCCTTTCATGCCCTCTTTTCTCTCACTTCCTCTAAATTCCCACTTCTCTCTTTTATTTTGGAATTAGTTCCTCTCCCCTTCATTGTTGAGCCTTTATGGGCACATTGTGAGCAACCGTTGGCGAGGGCGACCGTAGCGCTTCATTACAGCAAAGGTCACCGTCCTACTTTGCAACATTTATGACCCATAATAAGCAGAATTTTTAAACTTTATGTCCTCTTCCTCTGTGGTCCTGATGGTTGAAGGGGCACAAAAAGATAAAGTAGCCTAGAAAGCTCTCTGAGCAGAATTCAATTTACATTTTTTTTTATCAAATAATCAAAATGATGAAAACTTTCCGGATGTTATTCTTACACTTCAATAAAGCCATTAGGAGGATATGACTTTTAGATTAAATGTCCGTTTAAGAGCTTCTGAATGTTTCAACAGGGAGTTGATGATGAAACTAGTTTTGATAGAAACATATTGATCAGCTGCACATCTGTTTGACGGGAGGGAGACCCGAGCTCCTATGAGTCGTGCTGGGGAAAGTCGTGTTTCTCTGCCAATAAATGGGAGGGAGATTTACTGTATGGAAATCAATAAGCTCATTTACTCCAACTCATCAGCAGGCTTCCGAGAAACACCATACATGCAAGATACATTAGATAAGTGGATCAGAGGCACAGAGGCAGGAAGAAGAGTGGATGAGTTTATCTTATATGGACATTTTGTTCAAAGCATGAAAGAAAAAGGGTTTTAAATTAAAAAGCTTACTGTAAAAAACAAGTCCTATGAATTGATATAGGGGAAAGTAATTATCTGTAACATTAGCCGACTGATTACGGCTCGTGAGCCAACCCTCCGGAAACATCTTTACCAGTTTTGCATATTTAGACACAGAAACTTTTCGCCCGACCTTCTTTGCAGTATATCCTAAGCTGCAGTGAGCGCATCTGAGAACACATTTTTAAGTCCTGCTACAGATTTTCAATTGGATACAAATCTGCCCTTTGGCTAAATAGCTAACAGATGAAGTGGTTTTAAACTAAAGTACTCAGATGTTTCTGTGGTTGTATGTTTGTGGTCCAGTCGCAAGTTTTTTAAAGCTTCTAGCAGGTTTTCTTACAGTGTCAACTTGTATTTGGCTCCATCCATCTTTACTTCAAATATGATGGCCTGTTGTGTTGAGGGTGATGAGCTATTTTATTTTTTTTATGCCAAACTGTGTTTCACATGTAGGGTAAAAATCCACGATATGGTATTTGGCTAATTGTAAACATTTAAGTTAAAGAAATTTCCTAAGAATTTTGTCTCTTCACATTATTATTATTTTTTTTGCAATCTCAAATATATAGATTTTTTTACTTGAGATATGGATCTCTGCAGTTTCTATGGAGGCACCACATGGTTCTTAACTTCTCACTGATCATGTCTTTGTAGGTAGGTTGGCAGCTCTGCCATCTACTTTTGATTTTACAAATCTATTCTATCCCAGCCCACCAAACAGGTAGACTAATTAGACGATTACTAATGAGAACAGGGTTTTATTGTGGGGGTACCCACAATAAGGGATGTTAATACAAATGTATGCGACACTTGTCAGCTTTACAGATCAATTATTAAACACTTTTTCCCCCTCCTTCATAATTATGTGAACTGTTAAGGTGAAACCAATAGTTCAAGCAATTTGCATTGAATTAGAGGCTAACTGTATATATGACAGCTGATTTGTGTACAGTTGATACTAAGTTAAATAACTTTAAAGCATTAGTGTTTTGATAAATAGTATGTTCATTCATATCAGATGCAAACAAACCTAAAAAATGATGGTTTACTATCTTAATCACATAAAATCTGATCATAACTTTGTGTTTTTTTTCATCTGCACTGTGTAGAAAGAGGTCGTTTGGAGTCTGGCAAGTTGGATTTCACTGCATTTGTTTAAAAGCACAAAAACATACTGAGGCAGTGTAAACTGAACTGCAAACCCTGTTCTTTTTGCTCAAGCACAGCCACCCATGTTAAACTGTACACATGTGCATGGATTAGAGTTCAACAAGTTACTGCTACCTATAGGCACGGCGACAGCGCCCTATGAATCGTTTTACCTATCTGGTCATTAATGATGCAAACTGATGTGTTCACTTGTTAATGTCCTGTTTCAGAACCAGTTCGCCCAAACTTTGATTGAACAGGCGGATTCACATTTAAAAATATTATATTTTGATATATACAAGAGTGGCATGAAGGGTTAGATTAATAGCAGCCTTTCATTATTGGTATTTTGCTTGTTAAGATATTTTGCCCAATAGTAGTGTCACATAGAGAGAGAGAGAGAGAGAAGGAAAAAAAGAGAAGAATGAGGAGAATGTGGATTTATAGTAACTGATATCATAAATAGGTTATTTACCCGTCAGAATGCCATCACATTACTTTCTAACAATATGCAGAATACATGGTTCAGTTTGTTTTAGCCAAATCTCAAAGCTGAAAACTTCATCTTTGTCACCAAATTTGTTTGAGATTTTTTAAGTAATCCCTCCAAAAAAAACACTGTTCATTGTTTGTCTAACTATGCTCCCGTTAGCATTTAACCTGCTAATTGGAATCTGAGAGCTCTTGGGCTTTCTGGAACTTCTCTGACAATCCGACCTGGGAATGAAGTCTCTTGCACGTCCACCCCTGGGAAGATTGGCAGGTGTCGCAATTAAACAATAAGCTCCAAATGGCCTTATAAACCTTGCCAGTTCGATAGTCAGCCACTACTACTACAGTTCACTTTTGATTTGTTCTCCTCTTACTGTTAAGATCTGTTGCCTATGAAACGTTCAGCTTGCATAAAGATGGTTACATTTGCAGATAACTAATGACATTCCAGTTTTTAAATCATCACCTGCTAAAGATCATAGAATTTTTTTAAGTCCCCTCTTCATACATAAAACCCTCAAATTAAAAGCTTCATGAATATAAATGATGTGTAATGGTGCTCAAAGCTCCTAAATAAGCACTTTTTAAGCTTTAGAATGCCATACACAATCTCCAGCACCTCCTGAAAGTCTGGGTTAAGTTGGAGATGGTTAGTATTTTTCATGCTAGAGATACCAACGGATTAGGAGTTAACAAGCCATGGGACGAGAGGGAGTGGCGGCCTAGTGGTTAGGGCACAGAGCTTTGAATCCTAAGGTTCTGAGTTCGAGCCCCACTTCCAAAGACTGCCACTCTGGCTCCCTGAGCAAAGACCCTTAACCCCAAACCACTCACCGGGTGCTGCACAATAGCAGCCCACTGCTCCCACAGGGGATGGGTTAAATGAAGAGAGTTAATTTCTCCATTGTGAGATCAATAAAGTTAAATTTGTATTTCTATCTTTTCAAATTTGTATAAATTCTGGATTGCTAAGGTTTAAATCCAGCGCAAAGATTAAACAGTAATAGCAAAATATAAAGTAATTGCACCCACTGGTGACATAACTTGAATAACATTCAAGTCATTAATAATCTCAGTGCTCGCTTAAAAAGCGTGGTAATGTCTTTGTGTAATGTATGAGCAGCAGAAGGACAGTCAGCATGACAAGCATGCCTCTGTAAAGAAAGCCTTGCAGACTTCCTGTCACAGCATTCAAAATGGACCTCTGTGCACCAAGTCATTTATGACAAAGCCCCTCTGTAATAAACTGTATGCATCATCTCTCTGCACAATAGCAGTGCATTCTATGCACATTTACAGTTTGCACAGATAAAAGGCCAACTATGAGGGGAAGAAACGTCATGCATGACGCGAGGAGAGCAAAAGTGTGTCGAATTCTGTCACCAACTTCCTCTTCACCGTGATTCATATCTCTGTAGGCCAGCCTAATACCAACAGAGTGTTATTTACACAGTAGTCCTCAACAGCTGGCTGTAAACTGACACTAATCAGAAGCACATTTCTTACGTTTTTAGTATTTTCCATGTATCCAACTTCCTTACTTGTCCAGGAAGAATGATTCCATGTGCCTTAAGAAGATTTCTTAGAGGAAAATTACTTCAAGTCAAAGGATTTCTCCCTCAACATATGGGCCACAATTCGGAGCAGACAAGGTTTTACCTCCAGTGGTGAAACCAGACAGCTGTGGAGCTGAAGCAGCTGCTGATGCTACCAGAGTTACTGCAGCTTGGCGGGTCTCAACAAGATCAGATAATTGATGAGTCCAAAAAGCAAGAATTGTTTATTTGGGTTGTTAAAAATAATTGTGTTTAGCAGAGGAATGTGAAGAAGCATTACTCAATAAAACCTAAAATAGGTTTCAAATCTTAAAGGAAGCTGCAAGACTAACCTGGGAGGAAGAAGCTGCAGTACAACAACAACAACACTAAACATTCATCCACAGCTACAGTGATTGCTTTGAAGAAAATATGACCTTAAATGGTTTTATTACAAAAACATACACAGCTTGTAAGGCGTGTGGGTGAGATGTAGCATCTTTAAGTGTTTTTCCCAAGTGTAGTGATAGCTCCCCATCCTCCGTTTTTTTTTTTTTTTTGCATAAGTTCTTCTACAATACTACGTAAGCAATGTTGAAGTTTACCTTAACCTCCATTTACATCAAAATAATTAAAAGAGTTCATAAAAGTCATTTTTGATATCTCTGGTTAAAAATATTTGAGATGGTTCCATTAATCCTCCTGCAGCTTCCTCATGTTTAATTTAGCTTTCCTGTATGAATGCTTAGGAAAAAAAACACAAAAATGAATCAAAGCTTTTGTTTTTTTTACCTGTTTTCCTCAAAGGAAAGTCGTCCTTTGAGTCGAACGCTCCCAGCACTGGATGGGTGTACGCTGACAGTGTTGTTTGGGGGGGTGAGCTCTGATCCAAAGAGCTATGCTGAGTTTTCCTACAAAAAATAAAAAAAAAATATATTTTTTAATGATCTACGGCACATTATACAAAATATAACTATTTTTTTTAGTACTATTACACTCATGCACACACACACCTACATACAAAAGACAACTTCTATCTCCCCTTTTTTGAGGCCAGGAAGTATAAAGACATGGGAGACTGTGAGCAGCTAGGGTGGGAAGGTGAAAATAAAAAGAGACTATGAAGAAAAAAAGAGGGACTGATTCACCTTAAATGAAGCTTCAATTTCCTGACTCGGCTGTATGACAGAGGTGCAGGATGGGAGGAGAAATGAAGAGAGGATACACCAGAAAGTGAGGAGAATCCCAACAGGGTGAAAAAAACAGACAACTTCATGGAGCTAAAGAGAAATAACTGTTTATTTATATTTGACTTGAAACCTTTGACTAAATCATGTTTGACTAATATCTTCTTTTACGGGCAAAAATGACACCAGGGCCTTTTTTTCTGACTGCCCACTTCCAGCGTTCACCCCAGACAGATCCAGCTGTCAATCATCGCCAACTGGCATGCAGAAAAAGGCAAGACATTTCAGCATTTACACTGTTGTTGAAAATCAAAGATTAACGAAGACGTTGGCAATTTGATGTGCACACAAAAGCATGCTGCTGACAGGCGCCTACACATCGGGGGTTCAGAACACCACACTGGTTACTGTGTTTCTGAAGCATGAAGATAAGTGATTTTTATCTTGGTCTTCGTTATATTTTATGTTTGATAGTTCTCCTAATGTAGGTTTTTTTTCCCTTGCTCAAAAAAACAAATGATGACTCACAGACAGAACTATATTAATTGTCTGAATTTTGAGCACTTAGGGGTTTCAGGTAAATAACCTTAGCCACAAAATTGTTCTTTCTGTTCTAGTTTTTAAAGCTAAAACACTTTAGGCTGAAACAACCAGATAAAAAATATATATATATATAGTTGCGCAAGATAAAATTTGAGCAAATTTTACATTGCTTAAATAAATGTAAATACATTTCAATATAACTGAAATACCCTTTATTATTTAGTAACTCTGCAATATGAACATATAGAAAGATACAAGACTACAAAATACTAAAAAAGAAACAAACAATAATGATTCCAACCTTCATGTTATTAAGAAATAGTGCCAAACTATCTCTGTACAAAACAGAATAGTGTCAGAATAGTGGGATTTTGAAAATAAAACACCATCCACTGTAAAATATTGGTGGCACTATTATTGCATGGAGAAGATTTTCTCTACTACGGATCAGAGAGGTTTTCAGAGTTGATGAAAATATGGATGGATCAAAGGTAAAGACTGGAGACTAAGTTCAATATCCAGGTCAAATCTTAAATTCAGAATATAAAACTTGAAATCTAAATTTAAATAGACATTATCCATCCAGTTTGGCCGAGCTTCATCTATTTAAAATCAACAGTAATGGGCAAATTTTTGAGTCTTGCAAAACTCGATAGAGAAAAACCCTCGAAAGACAATTCTAGAAGAAAGGGGATCTCTTTTGCTTCTGTAAACTGTTGAACCTAAAAGTTGGGGTTGCTGCAGCACTATAAGTAATGCTGTATTCTCTTGACCAAAAGAGGATACAGCATTACGGACTCTTCCAGAATTGCATCGTCACTCATCCTCACCTTTGCTTTTTGCAAAGGATGTGGCTCGGTTTGGGTCCAAATCTGAGGTAGCTGGTTGAAAAAAGTTAGCACTCAATTGTCTGATGCTATGTTTCTTGTTTCTACTCGATCCGTCCCGGAAGCACAATCCTTACCATCAGCTCATATTGCGCTTCCAGATATACATCCAAGTCACTTTAATTTAGTAAAAAAAGACCTAAATTACATTAAATTAAATAGTAAGCGTACTAAACTATAGTGTGTTAAAGGTTAATAATATATTTCATAAGAAAACAATTTAAAATCCTTTCTGTTTTATCAATAGTCTCTGCCGATCTGCACCGGAAATAGGATTCTACGCTACTTCCGGGAGCTAACTTTGTCAGTTTTGGATTTAAACATAAATCTAGTCCTTTTGAGTTTTAGGTTTTCCTTTAGTGTTAACATTATGTTATATAGTTCATACTCTAAAGAAAGAAACAACTAATATGCAGATAAACATTGTTTAATCATATTTTGCGGGACTGCTCTGAGCATGTCCCATGATGACGTCAGAGAAGCAGTTTAACGGAGAAAATTTAAAAAGCATCAAAATTGTCTCAGAAATGTCATGAAACATTTTTTTAAGATGTGTATAAGCATTCTTTACTGACTAAAGGATATAAATAACTAATTTTAGTACCATATTTACAGTATTTATGGTCACCTGGATGTATATGTGGTTGTGCATGCACAAATGAGCTGATGGTACGGATTAGAGACTGACACAGGAGTGGATTTTCAATCCTGTCCCGTCCCACTCCCACAGAAAAAAATTGTGTCCCGTCCAGATCCCGGGCCAGAGTAGAAATCTAAATCCTGTCCCGTCCCACTCCTGGTGAAATTAGTCCCACTCCCATCCCGCTCCCATTCAGAATGACTCCCGCTCCTGCGGCACTCCCATTCTTGTTTTTTTATTTTTTGAGCGCGGCTGAAAAACTCAGAGCGGCAGCACTGTTGGTTTTTGGGTCGTGTAGTTTTTTTTGACTCGCATTATAGTGTAGGCTTCAAGGAAAAAAACTACAAAATGGCGGCGCCAGTACTAGATTTTTTTCTATTTATATTATTTAATTTTTTGGCATCGATCCTAGTTTTTTTTTAGTTACTATTGGTTTGCTCCCGCTCCCGTCTGCTCCCGTTAATGTTTAATCCTGTACCGTCCCAATCATGTGATCGTTACTAATACTGACTCCCATCCCATGGGAATCCCACGGGAATCCCCTGACCGGTGGGATTCCCAAAAAAAATGTCAGTCTCTAGTACGGATCGTGCTTCCGGGATGGATCGGGTAGTGACATTTCTTAAGCAGAAAAGATGAACTGCTCCCTCTTGAACACCAGTTGTGGTGAAGAAAGGGATAAAATATAAACTCCTAATTTACCTCTCTGCTTTGACCTCTAGTCCTGAGATATTTATCACTACCAAAAACACAATCCTTTTGAATCAAGCAAATAAGGCTTATTCTGTAAGGTGGCTGAACAGAACCTTAGCCATCAGCTAAGTCATCCGAAATCAGAGCAGAGCTATCACACCAACATATTAAAAGAATTTACTTCAGGTGTTTTCAGTATCTGATCGAGATCTCTCCAAGCATCTTCCCTTAGAGGTTCTGTGAGCGTGCTTGAGTGAAAGACCCAGAGCTTAACGCAAAGGATGAGCTGGAGAGTTTTAACAATGGAGACAGATGATCGATCATCTTCTACATTTTGGCTTTAAATGCTTTTGTTTCTAAACTGCTTTAATTCAGCGTCAAGTTACTGTAAGAGTTTTCCCACATAGCATGCATTGTTCAAAATAACACCTACTTCTTCACAGAATAAAAAACAAAAAACAAAAAAAAAACAAAGGCATCCCCTGGGGATTCCTGGAGAGGTGGCCAGTCACACTTACCCATACCAGTAGCGTGGGTCACTGGGCAGACAGTGGTTTAGGTTTCGCTGAGCCAGGGTTTTCTTCTTGTTTAGGACAAACTCCTGAAGTCGCATCTTTACCTCTGTGCTGGCCACAGCACCTGGACAGAGAGTGGAAGATAAGCAAGACATAAAAAAAAGCATCTGAGTAAATATATCTGACCATTACTGCAGAGCAGAAGTTAAATTGGGCTAAATAGCAGGAATACGATTCCGAAACCAACAAATTTAGCCAAGATTACCCAATGAGCAGGGGGAAATACTTTGGAAAAGCTACTGAATTATACCTCTGACTCAGTGTTTTATGCAAACTTTAAGGTTTTAATAGCTTTCATCCCCACTAAACACAGATCCCATCCTGTCCTCCCCTCTTTTTCCACTCTTATTTCACAGTTTTACAAACAAATCATCCAGGAAGTGAGAGACGAGGAGGAAAAGCAGATACAGGAAGAGGAAATCTCAGAGAGAAGCAGAAAAAGCTCAAAAAGGGCTGCCTTTATGGGAAAATGTCAGTGGGAGTGACAAGAGGTGATGTGTCAGGCTTGAGAGAGGAAGTGGTGAATTCAGCATGTGAAAGTGACAAGGGCTAATATATGTTCTCTAAATCACGCTGCAGCTGTAAGTGCTGACATCCCAATACGTGCGCCTCCCCACTGAAGCAAATTGGCTTTTATGAGGCTGCCTTCTATGCAATTTAGTGCAGTACTTAACAAAGCTTCTCCTGTTTACAACCCAAAGCTCTTTCCATAGACGTCAAACAGTATGTTCCCTTTGCCCAGAGCAGAGTAGAGACTTTACTGGCAAAATCTATTAACTGCAGTCTACTCAAAATATTAAATAACACATCTCTCCTACTGGAAATCACAGCAGCACCAAAGACTATTATTTAGACATCAACTTCTGATCACTTTTGCATGTAAATCCAAATACAGCATGCACACTCTGCAGCCATGTCTTGTACAAATAATAATTATTTTGGTTTTATTGATTTGGCACAATTGACTGAGCAAACCTTGAAATATTAAGAAATCCATTCCCAGGATACAGTTTGTAACATGAAAGAACTGCTGACTAAAATAACTTAAATGAAATGCAAAAATAATACAGATTTGAATTAAATTTATTAATTGATTTATTTGACAAGGAACATTAATTAGCAACGCCTTAATTGACCCAGCAAAGCCAAAACACCATTTATCATCTGCTGCCTCTGGACCGATCTTAGAATGATATAAAAAAAACAAAAATACAAAAAGAAGATTACAATGCTACAATATGAATATGAAAAGCAATAAAATAAATAAAACTCTTTGAACCCCGTTGATAAATATAGTGTACAGCTTTTCCGATATTGCAGATATCCGGTTAGAAAAATAATGAACTGAAATAAACAGATCCAAACTTAATTGAAGTGAATAAAGCTCAGTAAATCGTTATGCATTCAATCGAAATTCACTTAATTCACTAAACTGAACTCAAATGCACTAAAAAGAATCACAATCAATAAAAAAAAAACCTGAAATTGACAGTGATGAAAAATATTATTAGGTAATGTGAGATGAATAGATGCAGGTGATGAAGCAGACTGAAGATGTTTTATCATTACCATTACTCTTTCTTTCATCTTTTATCCTTTTTTTCCCCTTCAGTTGTGCTTTTCTGTTCTACTTACATTAAAGTGTCCATATAATCTGAAAAACTCCCTGCACAATTATAATAAAGCTATTTATATGCATAAATCAAGCGGGAACACTATGGCAATAGCCCTACTGCTCCACTTGTGAAAGTATCTGTTGGGCTCTTTTTGGCATCAAGACAATTATTCTTATTGCCACATCGCCAGACAGGACACTGTTTAAAAAACAAAATAAAAAATGTGAGATGAATAGTACAGGTCTATTCAACATGAAATGGAAACTACCTGAATTGAACTCAAAAGGAAAATTGTTTTAAGGGAACAATCTCTTTGACAGAGAACCTCAGCATCTGAAATGTTTTTGATCTTTTTAAATGAAGCCTGTTCTATGGAGCTGTGAAATGAAGGACAATTGTTTATTTCTTTTAGAGTGCTATCTACAGCAGAAGTGTAACGCTGACCGCACATAATTCACCGACAAAAGACGACATGGTCTTACCAAACCTAGTTTGCTTACTAAAACATATGCACCAGTAAGTGGCTGCACTAAAAGTCTAAACACAAGATGAAGTATATTTCCATTAATGCATTATAAAAATCAAAGCAACATTAGTAGGGTTTAACACTGTAGCAATTTGAGAGTTACAACATAATGATAAAAAAAAGTTTAAATGCTTTTTAAAATGCGGCCTAATTTTGAACAATAACACTGAGGACATGCTTGCCTCTTCAGTGTCTAGCTCCTGTAGGTTTTTCCCTGGCCGTGTCGTTCTGATCCTCCCTGTGGTGAATGTGTGAGGTCAGACTGCTCTGACTACTGTGCCGTAGATACAGGTGCTGTGACAGAGGGGGCTGAAGGAGCCAAGCTGTCTGACACATGTTGTGATCACATAGTATTTCAGCCCACATATTAGACGGAGGAAAGCATACATTGGATCATTCGCTTCCGCCTTTACTCAAGTCTCCAAAATCCTTTATTTTGATCACATTTTCCAGAGCTGAAACTTACTTTCTTGTCCCCTTTCCTTGTGTTTAAGCTGCTGGAGTTTGTGTTCCCGCTGCTGCTTCTCCAGCTGCTGCTCATGACGTTGCTGCTCCATCTTCCTGTGATGCTCCAACAGCTCTTGTTGATGCTTGAGGGCCAGCAGGTCCTGTTGACTCTGGAGTGGAGAGGCACAAATGGGTTACAGGAGGATAAAAGAAGATCATGGATTAACTGGCAGCAAAGTTTAAAGCCGAAACAACAGAAATGAAGCAAAGTGAAGGAGCAGTAATGAAAACAGTATATTACAAAGACTCAGAAAAACATATTGTAGTTATTTTCAGCCTAAACTGATCAGATATCTTGCCTGCACGCCTGTGTGGTCACCCTGAACCCAAAGGGAGTTTTTTTCTACTATAAATTTCACTCAGAGAGAGTTTATGGGGCCAATGTTCTTTTATACCGCCAACAGATCAAATTACATCAGAATACCCACTGAGGTCTACACATACATTTGTTTTCTTACGCAAGGTGCTGACTACAGTGTTGCCATACCATTGCTGGAGTACTCCCACCTCCCCCTCTGCCCATGCACATCCCCTCCCATTCTATCCCCTCACCTTAATATGTTCCTGCAGTTGGGCTTCATGTTGTCGGGACAGCTGCTCATGTTGCCTGTGAAACTCGGCGATCAGTAGCTGCCTCTGGAGCTCCTGCTTGTGCTTCAGAGCCACCAGTTCCTGTTGCAGGTGCTGGTCCTGACGTCCTGCAGGGGATATTAAACACCACATCATGTCCAAGAGCAACAAGAAGGGTGAGCATTCAGTAAAATCAGCAAGGAGATCCTGACGACTTACCAATAATTGGTCCGTTGCCTGGCTCAGATGATGCAGGGCAGGCAGTGGAGGGTGCTGGCGTGGAGTGGGGGTGGGGCTGGGACACCAGGCCGAAGGGAGGCTGCTGGTGGTGGTGGTGAGAGTGGTCTACAATGCGCAGGTCCATGGGAAGGATGGCTGAGGTGGCAGAGGGAACCTGCGAGGGGAGCGCTGCTGTGCCCACGTCCACTAAAAAAATAAGAGAACCAGATTTAGCAACTAACATTTGAACTAAATCCAAGAAGCGAACTAAAGAAGCAGCTTTAGCCGTAGCAATCTTTGCAGCTGAGTAATCACTTGTAAGCTTGGCCAACACTTGAGATTTAAATGTGTCAGATTTGTACACATTAGATAAGAGCATTAGATAACACCAATACATAAAATACATGAGAAGCAAATATGTTCAGCAGCTTTAACTGAAGGAATTAGCAAACATTTATGCAGGCTTAGTCTTAATAACTCAACACTGATCATGTGTGACAGAAAGAAAACTCTTTTCATGTTTGTAAATGTAAGTAAGACGCGTCTTTGAACTGTGAGTGCAACAGCTTTAATATACAGCTTTAATATACAATGATATACTGAATATCTGAATTAGATACACATAGTTCTTGATTTTTCTTACAGATTACAGCATTAAAAACAAATAACATGCATGAGCAGATTAAAATAACTCCAGACGCCTGCTGCTTAAAATATTACTACTCAGCAAAACAGAAATAACAATCTGTAGAGTAAGTAAAGCAAAAATAAAACTAGAAAAAAAAAGGAAATAAGTTGTGATTCAAATCACATTTAAAATGTGATCAGTAGAGATACTGGAAAAGCAACATTACGTTTAATATAAACAGGGAAACAAATTGTATACGAAATAAATTATCAGAAAAAACTGACAAAACAAGACTGCAGAAAACTAAATGGATAAAAACTAGAGGACTAAAACCCAGTACTGTACAGTGATATATAAAACTACTAAAAGATATGGAGAAATGTGAAAGTGAATGTTTTATTCAGTTATAAAACATGAAAAGCAAAAGTAATACAGTATTTTCACATTTGGTCATATATGCAGTGATATTAATGGAAATTGAGGAAAAAAAAGGAAGAAATACTGAAACACCAAATGAGGAGTGACCTTTAAAGAAAAACAGTTCATTTACAAAACTGAAGCACCACAATGACAACTTTGTGTTTTTTTCAGAAATATCCAAAAGGTCAAACCATTTAGGAATAGAAAATTTGTGGTTTGTCAAACATATCAGGACTTTACAAAACTCAAATGACAGAAACTGAGAAACAATAAAGAAAAACAAAGAAGAAGTCTGGCACAGAATAAAGAATTAGAATAAGTTTGTGTTCTCTCCCTTCTTAGACATTCAATCTGCCACATTTAATCTGCTTTATAGGAATAATCCATAAAAACAGCGATAGCAGGGGCAAACTACAGGAATGATGCAATCACTCCAACATGTAAAACAGCAGCTTAAAATGCTGCATAACCACACAGCATTAGAAAAAACATTTAATAAACAAAATCTTTGCAAAGTTCAAAGCCTTGACCTCCACACTACCTCCTCCCTTTCTAACTAGACACTGCTATTATTACTGTGACAAGTGGGATGTATAAATAGAAGAGCTTATGTAGATGGTTTATATACAAAGACAGCACAAACTGGAGTTAGGAGCCCAAAGTGAGAGTAATCCTTTTTCATTCCCACACGTTAAGTCTTGACCTCCTGTCAGTGTTTCTTAATCAATATTTGCACCATGAGGAACCAGCATCCAGCGTGCCAAGCCCACTGCCAGTGATCAATACCTCCAAACCAGTGCAAAGTATCCAGAGCCTATCAGGCACATCTTGCTGTCCCCAGTGGCCAATGGGGTTGCAAATTGAGGAGCAGCTAACTTGCTGAGGTAGCCAATGACATCTTTGGTACCAGGCAGGTTTTTAGTGTTTAAGGGAAACTTGACACCACCCAACGGGACAGCGGGGAGAGAAGAAAGGGTGTGGCCAGGCCAGACATGGTGGAGCTTCTCTGATGCATATCGCTCTGCAGGTTAGAACGTGTCTGAGGGCTGGACATTAGGAGGAGTTGTTCTTCAGTAAAAGAAATGTATATAAGGCATTTGTTCTCCAGACTTCACAGCTAGATCACAGACATCCAAAGATGCTGGGCTTCCTAATGTTAGTTAGGAAAAAAGAAAACAAATATCCTGAAGTTTTATTTAACTGTTTGCACCTCTGAATACCACATGAACATTTCTATTTCCCCTCTAAAAAACCCCAAAGGAAGAGAATTAAACTATTGTGATTTAAAGTGAGTTCAAATAGCCCATCATGCGTTCAGTGAATAATGCATTATTTTCAGTTCACCACGTCTCACATTCATTGTGTACACCAACTGTCCATGTGGTTATTTACTCCACAGGCCATAAAGTGTTCACTACATTAGTATTAAACGTCAAACCAAACAAATAAAACTGTTTGCTCATAGGCTGAGGGCCAATATGTGCTCTACAGTCATTGTTGTTATTGAAAAAGTTGCATATGATAATAAAACTCCAGTCAGTGGAAGCTTTGCAGATGTGCAGCTCATTGACAGAACTGCAGACGGGACCTCAGCATAAAGACTATGATGGATTTGGGATGGGGGGAATTACCCAAACCAGGAACTGCTGCTCAGACGTAAAGCAATACATGGTTTCAGACCCATGATAGCCACAGAAAAAAGTAAAAATAAAAATACAGATAAACCTTTGGCTAGTTGCTTATTTTAGATACGAAGTCCCACGTTGTCAACACAAAGATAAGCCTGATGAGAAGTCTTTATCAAATGACTCCATCTATACAGTGGGGCAACACAAGAACCACTTCCTTTTTTTAATCCAAAATAAGAATTTTGAAAGAAGATCCAGGTTGTCAGCACACTTGCATGTCTGGGGCTCAAAATTACTAAGTTACATCATCACACAGCTTTAGGTGTGGAAAGCAATTAGACATCATTTCACAGAAGAAATATTGTGAAAAAAAATATTGTGTTGTTTCAAAATTGTTTGGTCTTGACACACCCTGACTTGGTATGCACATCAGAAACTGTCTTAATAGATTAATTTTTTTCAGATTTTGACAATAGTTCTTGGTAATAATTACTGGAAAAGGTTTCCTAAACATGCAAAATGATATATAAATCTATAAATCTAAGCAAGTTATCACTTCTAGGGGGTTATGGTCAAGCTAGAGTAGTAGAAAAGGTGGACTTTAGAATAGAATAGGATGAAAATCCAAATGAAAGAATATAAGTCAAGGCAAGAATGACAACAAATACATAAAAGAATGCAAGTAAAAATATTAAAATAGACTCTACAAGGAAATAAAAAACAAAAAAACAAAATTTAGGGTTAGCTTCAGAAATTATAAGTAAACTAACCTCTTCTTGGATAACAGTCTGTATAAAGACAAGAGAAAGTTTCTCTAATTTTTGCTAAGATGTAACATGTATGTGAATGTGAGTAAATGTAGCTCTCTTCCACTTGCTCATTTTCTTTTTTTAATCATTTTTTTATTATTATTATTATTTTTATTATTTTTTTGTGCTAATTTTCACTGCCATCCCATAAGGCAAGAGTTAAAACAGAAAATATAGGCGACAACTCAAACATCAGCTTATAAAAATGTAAAACTTGACTTCCTGTCAAAAGCAGCGATATGAATTCAATTTGCATACGGCAGAAAACAACCTCGGAGATTACATGGGAGTGTTTACCTGCTGCCTGTAAATGCCAGCCTGTGCTTGGCATTCCTCTTACATGTTAGCAAATTATTGATAGCTGCAAATGAATCTGCACTGGCAGTTTACCAAACTCTACACACCAATATAGGCTGTAACTTTTAACAAGTGGCTCCACAAAACAAGGCAAACAGAGATGAACACACTCTTATGTACAGTTGTGCTTTAAAGTTTACATAGTCTACCATTATAGAAAAAAATAAATCCACTCTGCATTTAACCCACCCCGTTGGGGAGCAAAAATTAATAATAATGAATAAATTTTACTAAATGATTATGTTGCAATATAGAATATTCATTTTGAATTTTTGCTTAAAAGAAATTAAAGTGCCTTGCTTGTGTACATTGAACCAACATACCTGTCAACAGGTGCAAAAGTCTGACTGAACATTACAGAAAACGCCTCATTTCAGTTACTGCATCAAAGTGTTGCTCAACAGATTTTTTTCAATGTCATGATTTCCATTTTTTTATTATTAGTATTTATGATTATCTTTTCCAATTTAAATCTATTTTACTGGCAGCTGATTTTTTTCTGTCTTTAATGGAAGGGCATGTAAACATCTGTGTGTTGCCACAGGAATCCTTCACGACATCCCTTTTATCTTTGAGCTTCAAACTTTGTTTTAATTCGTTATTTAAATATGGCATTGATCCTGAAATACAAATATGTACAGGTCCCATGATAGAGGGACCGGACTATCTTTGCATCCAGTTAAAAATAAGTGATCATGAATAAATCATGATCATGACTAAATGACTAATCATGCCATTTATGTTTGAAAGCATGAGATCCTAACCTTAATTTTCTTTTACAAACCCAATAGGGCAAATAAAAAAAGAAAATACTATTTGCAAGCAGAACAGGGGTCTGGTTTGCAGTGCCGACATTAAGTCAGACCTGTTTCTGATGCATGCTGGTCCCTTGCAGGGCTGCCCTCTGTCAGCAATCCTGTTCATAACCTTCATGGACAGGATTTATAGACCCAGAGGGGGTCTGGTTAGGGAACAGGTGGATTTCGTCCCTCTTTTTAGATGATGTGGTTCTGGTGGCTCCTTTCTGCCAAGACCAACAGCATCTGTGGAGGTGGTTTGGAGCAGAGTGCTAAGCAGTCAGGATGAAGATCAGCTCCTTAAAGTCAAAGTCTATGGTTCTGAACTGGGACTGGAGAGTATTACTGGGTCCTGTTTGAAGAAATGAGCTGGAGATCTGCAGATGGATCGGTGCAGCTGCTGCCATATTGCAAATGCTATGCTGGTCTTTTGTGATGAAGATGAAGATTCTCAGTCATCCAGGTCATTCCAAAAAATTGAATTGAAATTCTTTGAATTGAAAAAGCTTTCTGGATGGGAAGCCAAATGTCTTAACTTGGAAACACAGTCCAGAGGATTGTTTTTTTT